AATGGTAATGAAATAAATACCATGTACCTGCCAACCAGTGTAAGAAATTAAACATTAACAAAGTCAATATATTTTCTAAGACATAAATGCATTTTTTAAACACATAATTTCTAGAATATAGAGCAAATACCTAATAATATTATCGGTGGTGTATGTTTTCAATAAATGTATATTAGCAGTTACATTTCTATGTTAGGAACTATGTTCCTTTTATTCTCAAGGAGAATATGGTACTGAAAAGAAAAAGGACAGCTGGTAGAAGATCAATGCAGAATTTGTGTCATATTACCTTTATTTCCTATGGACAATATAAAATTTTATATTTAATTAAATTACATTTATGGTAACATATTTACATGTTATAATATTTCAGCTTCCCTGTTTATCAGTGGATTATTTGGTGCTCACACAAAGTATTTTCTGAATCGAATTGAAATTTAAAAATTGTTATTTCTCGAAAGACTCGAGACAACTACGTTCTACCAAGGGAAGTATGATAGAAGTTGGCCAGTGTTAAGTGACTCTCTGAATTTAGGCACAAATTAAGATCATTTCTTTTTATTAAAACAAAACAAAAATAAACCTTGGAGTTGTGCCACTAAGGCTTTTAAACTCAATATCCCTTCATTACATGAAAACAATTTGGTATATTATCAACACTCTTAACTTGAAACACCAACGCTCTCTGAACACCAAAAAGTGTACACCTACAGCTATCCAGGCAACTTAGAAAAAGGTAAAAAAAAAAAAATATTGAAATTCCCAAATATTGATTTCACTTTGGCCCATGTATTCACCCATGAAGTGAGTCGTTTAAGGAGAAATACCTCAAAGAACATCATACTCATTTTTCTTCATGACTCAAGATAATTTCTTAACCATGATAAGTGAAAGATTTTGTACTCATTATGGTTGTTCAACAGAGAGGAGATTAATTCATCATTGTAGCTGAACCACAGACTCAAATATTCTTTTTTCCTTCTTTCCAGGAAGAATCCCAGGAAAAGCTTAACCACTTTATGCAACAACAGCCTCTAGTCTACCCGTTTGCTGAGCCCATCCCTTACCCCATCCTTCCCCAAAACATCCTGCCTCTTCTTGCTCAGCCTGCCATGGTGCCCCCTTTCCTTCTGCCTGAAGTAATGCAAGTCTCCAAATCTAAACAGACCGCCTTTGCTAAGCACAAAGCGATGCCCTTCCTTCAATCTCCAGCGATGTTCTCTTTTGACCCTCAAAACCCAAATCTCAAAAATCAGCCCCTTTCTCTGTCTCTGCTCCAGCCCTTGATGCACCAGGTCCTTCAGCCTGTTCCTCAGACTGCCATGCTTCCTCCTCAGTCCCTGTGGTCTCTTTCTCAGCTCAAATCCCTGTCCATTCCCCAGCAAGTGGCGCCCTACCCTCAGAGAGCTATGCCGGTCCAAACCCTTCTGCTCTACCAAGATCCCACCTCCCACCAGTTCTATCCTGCGACTCAACAACCACTTGCCCCAGCCCACAACCCCGTTATTGTAAGTCCAATTTACGTACTTTGCTGTTTCATTCATGATATATTGGTAGAATAAGTGAGATCTCTAAGATAATCAATGCACAATGAATGGATCCAAAAGACACATAGTTCATATCAGTGATTCTCAATGCTACTTACACAATAGAATCACCTGGAAAACTTTTCCCCCCCAAATCCCAATGTCTAGGCTTACTCACAGAGACTCTAATATAATTGTTCTGATTTTCTATGTAGAAGAAATTGAGTGTTAGGAAGAAATGATTGGAGGAATTCTGGTTTAATTGGGCTGTTGAGAATTTTGATTTAGAGAAAGAGAATTAAGGCTCACTAAAACCAGAATTAAACTTGATAATCTGATTGGAATAAAAAATAGTTATTATTTTCTATGGTTTTAAAGTTTTCCTATGGTTTTAAAGTTGCATATCTATTCCCCACAGGCTTTTTTTTTTTTGTTTTTGAGACAGAGTCTCACTGTGTTGCCTGGGCTAGAGTGCCGTGGCGTCAGCCTACCTCACAGCAACCTCAAACTCCTG